ACCGGCCACCCCACCGGCCACCCTACCGGCCACCCCACCGGCCACCCTACCGGCCACCCAATCGGCCACCCTACCGGCCACCCAATTGGCCACCCAATCGGCCACCCAATCGGCCACCCTACTGGCCACCCTACCGGCCACCCCACCGGCCACCCTACCGGCCACCCCACCGGCCACCCCACCGGCCACCCTACCGGCCACCCTACTGGCCACCCCACTGGCCACCCCACTGGCCACCCCACTGGCCAGTGTAAATTGTAGTTCCATTAGTTTATGTCTACAGGCAGTTTACCACAATAGCAGATTCAAACCCTGAAATTATGGCTTTTAGTTCCAGTGGCCGCCCCAAGATTTTTAGTGACCCCATATGGCCCCCCCTATGAAACATTTCTGATGGTGCCACTGCCCGTACGCCGCCTGGGGAAGCAACCCCCAGATCCTCACATTTCCACATTAATTCCTGTTCTGCCTGTAGCCGAATAGGGTTCCTCTGTCTGCAGCGGTCCTCCTGTGAAACCTGGACAGAAACCGACCTTCTGAATCCAGCTCCTGGTTCCTTCCTATTAGTCACAGCCAGCGATGGGCGGAGTTCTCAACAGTAATACTATTGATATTGTAAAATTTTACTCAACTACAAGTAAAAGGTACTCAGTCAAACATCTACTTAAGTTAGAGTATTGTAGTCAATAATACCAATAATATTTTCTAATATCAGAACATTTCTGTATTATTTTCAGAGTTATTAAAAGAACCTGTAACTTTCAGGAAGTGTGTTGGCCACAGGTGGCAGCATCGTTAGAAAACTCTGTGATACCAGAAGCACAAAAAGCCAGAAAAATGTAAAATATTGAGAAAATCTCAACAGATTGGTTCAGCTTGGTTCTGAAGTAGCTGTAACGGATCTAAACTCCTGCTAATGAAAACAGAGCATCAGAATAATCTGATCTAATCTAATCAGTTTGAATCAAACACGATACTGAGATTATTAATCTGTTCTGAAGGACTGATTGTTAAGTTTAATTTCACCTGGTTATGAACAAACTGAAGGCTGTTAGTCTAGAGCAGGGGTGGGCAATTCCCGTTCCTGGGGGCCGGTATCCTGCAACTTTTAG